GGTAGCAGGCTATTACTGTATAAGAAGCTTGCAGGGCAACAGTCAACTGTTACACTCTGTGGAGTATAATGTCAGCCATAGGTGAAAAACAGGATGTGATCAAATTGATACAAATTGTAGGAGAATTTGAGACTTGTAGCAAAGCAAGAGAGATTATGTAGGCTTCCAGTGCTCCCCAAGAGGCATTTACTGTATAAGAAGCTTGCAGGGCAACAGTCAACTGTTACACTCTGTGGAGTATAATGTCAGCCATAGGTGAAAAACAGGATGTGATCAAATTGATACAAATTGTAGGAGAATTTGAGACTTGTAGCAAAGCAAGAGAGATTATGTAGGCTTCCAGTGCTCCCCAAGAGGCACAATTATATTGATGACTACTTGTGGCTCGGTTGTAGTTTTAAGTATGTGGTTTCCCTTATTGTCCATAGTATAGTGTAGAGTAATAGTAATGTTGTCCTCTCCATTAAATGGGTATTTTATAACCCTTTATAGCTATTTGAACGTATTGGTTCAGGCAAATGAATGCTGTACAAATAAGAGCTACCAAATTACCCATATTGGTTTCAGGTTTCAGGACACCTTATGGTGACTGGGGTAAGTTATAAGTAGGAATATCAAACTGGAAAAAATGGGGTACCACAAAAGATGTCTTTGGTCTGAGTGCTTTTCAATGGACGGGAGTTTTCACTAAATCCCTATTTGAAATGTGAGATTTTATAAATGATATGAAATTGGGAGGACTATAGATACTTTGAAAGATGGAGATATAATTCTGAGTTTTAAACTGGAGAATGTGTAAAAGAAGTCAAAGGCAGTTATCTAAAGTGAAGCTTTAGGCATAAATATACCACTGGTGATATCAGTTTATGTGATAGTTAAAATAAACAACATACATTTTTGATGCTCATAAATGAAACATTTAGCATCTTTGGGAAAACATTATGAAGCTTGAGGAATACTGAAGGGTTGCTGCAAGGATAAAAAGAGGGAGGGGAGTTATAGGGGGGGTTATTGTATATTCATATAAATGATGGCCAGTGTAGTGTTGGGGTTAGGGTGCTGGGAGAACAGGTTGGATCCCCTCTGTGCCATGGAAGCTTGCTGGATGACTTTGAGCTCAGCCTAACCTACTTCACAAGAGTGCTATGAGGGTAAAATGGAGGATGGGAGAACAAATAAAGCTTCTTTGGGTCAGCAATGGAGAGAAAAGTAGGGTATAGATATATAAATAAATTATAAGTATTTTACATTTGAGGTTGTAAGTTCCCTTGAGCTATGGGGAAAGGTGGGATACAACTATTTTAATAAATAAAGAGAGGAATGTATTTGTTTCACTGTGCGTTTTATAATTACAGTTGTTACAAATGCCTAAGAAGAATGAATCAACTTTTTTTCTTTTTCATAGGAAATAAAAATTGATCAAGTTACCAAACTAGCCCTTGGTGGAGAAATTAATTTTGAGCTTGTCTGCAAAAAGGTATGATTTTGTGTGTGTTTTTATTAGCATATACCTCCTAATTGTAATTGGAAAAACTCTTAACATGAGCGAATATATTTTGAAGCCATACCCAAGGCTTATCACAATACCAAATAAATGCTGAATGAGGCTTTGTATTGTTGTGCAGAGCAGTGCTGCATGTGATGTTGTGTTATGAGTTGCAGATGCTTCAGAATATTATTCTGACTTTCTTTCCTCCCAACTACAAATGTATATACCCTTGACTTTTGCCATTCTAGTACCTGTGATTAAGAGGAACTAAGCAGGAATCTTTCAGTTACATTGCCTGGACACTGCAAAATAAGGGTGCCTGCTGTTTGGTCTGTGGATCTCATATATACCATAGAGTACTTCTTATTAGCTGACAAGTGCTTACTTAGATTGCCAGCTCTTTCAGTTTTTGCGGGGTGGGGTGGGGTGGTGGTTTTTCCCCTCTCCAAATCAGACAGACTTTGGAAAGCATCTTGTAAAACATACAAAGTTAGCTTAACTACTGACTTCTGCAGTGTCTTTTTTATAAACCAGCATTTTCTGTTACTGGTAGAAAGTCAGCATTTGTTTACTTCATTGGTAACAGATCACATAATATGGATTCTTAACATTCCTTGCTTTTTTGGGGAAAAAATATTTGCAGTCCAATAATCAGGAAGAAATAAACTGTATGCTTGCACTTGGCTTAAATCTTATGAGCTACTGTGGTATTTTGTCATCAACATTGTGTTCTGATTGCTCACTTCAATGATGTATAGTTCTATATTGTATTTAGGATTCTAGCAAATAATGAACTTCTTGCTATTTGAATGGCATGTCAGAAGATGCATGTAAGATGCTGTTGTGATTGCTAGTACTTCTGTGATATGCACATCTTCAAGAGTAGTACTAGGGCTGGATTGTCCCATGTTCTGCCCAGCAGGCTAAAATGCCGCTCCAGGCTCTTTAGATACAAATGTAGTAAGTTCACTTGTACTCCAGAAGGAAAAAGATAAACTGGTTGATGAGTAAACTTTAAGCAGCTGAAAAATTCCCCTAAATCTGTCTAAATGGAAATGATTGTTGGTGTATAAAAACCACTGTTTCCTGAGAATTGTCCATGGAAAACAGATGCTAACTTCAAATTCAAATAGCTGTGGTTACTTTGAGAACATTGGTGATGTGAGAATGTTGCATGAAGGTGTAAAATTTGTCTGCCTGTGACTAACCATTCCTGTAATGTAGATGATTCAGCCTTGTGCTCCTCAGGTTTTTACTTTTGAACTGTGCACTTGTTTATGCAATCTGAAGAATTTTTGACATTTAACTTAATGTCTTCACAGTGATAAAAGTACACATTGTGTAGTGTGACCTTGGCATCTGAGCCAGACATGGGTTGATTTTAAAAAAAAACTTCAAGAGTTATATCTAACCATTAATTAATTAAACATTAATTCTATATGTTGGATCAATATGCAGATGAAACAATATCAACCAGATTTTTCAAATTTGCCATTATGATTTATTATGGTTTTTTGTTGCTGAGTTCACTTTTTGAAACAACATGATTGGTTGTACAAGTTCTTGCAGAAGCACAAGTGGAGATCCCATTAGTACAAACAGCTACTGTGGTTTTTCCCTTGGGTTTCTACTTGCACAAGAACTCTAGCACAAATGGACATTTTGCACTGGATCCAAACAAATATATACAGCAGATTGCCTCAAGACTAGGATATTTCCTCCTCACCAATGATTTGGGGGGAGCATAGTTGTGATGGGAATAATTGTTGTAGGTCATCTGATGGCCACTGTGTGCAACAGCTGCTCTGGAGCAGCTCTTCCATGAGCTGTTATAATAGTAAGTTCTTCAGGACATAGACATTCTTTTTTCCTGATTTCAGATATGATAAATTTCAGCCGAATTCTGACTCAGGATTTTTGTCCTGTCTTTATCCTGTTCCCCTCCATTTCAAAATCTTGCCATACTGTTAGTTTCTTTAAGAGGCTAACTTCAGACAACAAGGAATATTGAAGCATTTATTCTGATGAGTACAAATGCTATAGTCAGTGTATGAAATATTGTAAAACTTTTTTTGTTTGGATAAATGTTTAATAACTAGTTGTTAACAAGAATAGATTAATTCTTATACAATTATAACTGTGTGTATTTTAAAGTATATTTTACTTGGCTTTTGTGAATGGTTACAGTTATCAATGATGCTATTAATTAGAACAGCACCAGAAGAATTTTACCTACATCTTTTTTCCAGTAGGTAGGGTACTTTAAATATTTAAACCAGTATTTATTTATTTATTATTTAATTAAATTTTTAGGGCGCCCTACCCTGCAAGTAGAGCTTAGGGAGGCTTACAACAGAAAGGAACATACAATAAATAACTAGAAGTTAAAATCCTACAATAAAATACATCAGCAGTAATTCAATCCATTCCAAGATGGTGGGAAAATTCCAGAATTCACAAGCCTCCCGGGGGGGGGGGGGGCCCCCCCGCGGGGGGGGGGGGGGGGGGGCTTGCAGAGAATGCATGTCCATGGTTAATGTAAAAATGAATAGATGGCTGTTAAATATCTATTTATGAAAGATTTTAAGATTGGGTAGGTTAAAAAAGGCCTAGAATGTTTTGAATAAGCAAATTACTAGGCTGTTATAAGTGAGAAGATGCTACAAACCTAATTGTCGTTTACTAATGTGTAAGTCCCATTGAACTCAGTTGGCCCTTTTAAAATAAACATAAGAGGATCAGACATAAATCTTATTCATTGAAATATGCTATGGCTCTACATTGCTTGAATTCTTTGGAAGACTTACCAAGATTTTTTTTGGCATAGCATAAGCATAGCATTAGTATAACAACTTTTGGTCACAGAAAAACTTTTCGTTGTTTTGTTCTTTCCTTCAAAGGCAGGTTATTCCAGAAATGTATATGCAGTTTACTGGTTACTATAAAATGTTTGATGGAAAAGTAATCATCACAACGTCTTGTTATGTGGTAGAACAGTATACCCCTGAGGGCTTTGGGCTTGTGTTTGAGCAGTACCCCCCCCCCCCCAGTGTTCCATGGAAACTGCTTCTGGAACTGAGGGAACTTTCAGAAATAACTTGTGATACGACATGGGGTACTGCCATTTGGGTCAATGGAAGTTGAAGACGTCCACTGGGAACACAAGTAGCTTTTTGCATGCCCTTTGAAAATCTAGTTAAAAGAAATGTAACACAGTGTTCTCAGTAAACAAGAGAGATGCTTGTGCTCTGACAAGAAAGGGGTGCATTCTGAAATTAAAACATTAAATGGGGGGGGCATTTAGGAGCTATTTTGTAGAGAGAACAACAAACTTATGGAAACTATCAGGTTTGCAGAAAAATCTGAAAAGCTAAAAGCTAAAAAAGAAGTGGATTTAAATACTCCCGAACAGAGAGGCATTGTTTGTTCTTGTGTACATAGTGCTTCTCTATCAGCCGAGCCTGACTGGATGGTGGGGGGAAGCCACCGCCACATCAGTCAGATAGGTGGAGGAGTCTTTGAGAGGAAGGAAGAGTGGGAGTTGCTATTCAGCCTTAATGCCTGTAGAAAGGAAGATGTAGAGATGGGGGACAGAAGGCCAAAGAGGAGGCAAGTGGGCAGAGTGGCAGAAAGGATAGGCAGGCTGTGGCAGAAAACAGTAGTCAGAGAGGGGAGAGAGGTGAATGAACGAGTCTGGCTTTGATTGTATCTATTAGACTTCAGGGGAAATCAGATCTGGCATTTGGTGTGCTATATATGTTGAGTCCAACACATAGGAGTCTTCTACACATCAGTGCTCTTC